CCCTGAGAGCCCGTCCTGGGAGTGGGGAACAGGCACCAGCAGCAGCTGGGGAGAAGGCGTCGCCCTCAGAGCCACACACGGCACAAACGGGTGAAACCACAGCGTGTTCCAGCTGACAAGCACTGCCCTCCCTGTGTAGGGCACCAGGATCTGTTCCAGCTGACAAGCACTGCCCTCCCTGTGTAGGGCACCGGGATCTGCCTCACCTGCTGCTGCGTTCAGGCACAACTGGTCCCTACGGCACCGGGGATGGCATCGCATCCGACCCCTGAAACCAGGCAGAAGGGGTGGAAGCACTGCAGGAATAATCAGGGAATCCTGGAATGGTTTGGGTTGGGAGAAACCTTAAAGACCATCCAGATTCACCTTCCACTAGAGCAAGTTGCTCCAAGCCCTGTCCAGCCTAGCCTTGGACACTTTGAGGGATGGGAAACTCCTCTGGGCAAATTGAGCCCAGCTCTCCATACAGTGAGAAATGCAAAAATATGAAATCAGCTCCTGGCTGCTGTGAAAATTCATCCAGCAATGGGAGCTGCAGAACAAACCAATTTCAGACAAAGAGCTGCTGGAAATACACACAAATACGGAATGGTTTGTGTTGGAAGGGACCAACCTAAACCCACCCTGCTGCAGCAGATCCCCATCCTGACCCCACACACATCACAGTGCTCGTGGCAAAGGAGAGACTGAACACTCTGCCCAATGCCAGAGTCCCTTCCCTCCAACATCCAGGGCTAATTTAGTATAGAAAGACATGCCAAAATTAATTTATTTCTATTTCTTTCTTCTGGCCTAAGCAGCTTCCCTCCCACTTTTTCCAGATTGATCCATCAGAAAATGAGCCCTGCTAATGCTCCATGCCAACCACTGAGATAAAAGCCAGCCCTCGGCTTCCAGGAGCCTCCAGGTTGCTCCAGCCCTTCCAAGGGAGGCAAAGGCTGTGAAGAAGCATCACTTAGAGGGCAGGGATGTGGGCACCTGCTGGGAACTGGAGCATCGCCCCAAGGACAGGGATTTGGGTGCCCACTGGGGACCAGCAGATGCTCAGGGCATCCACAGCCCCCTGCCCTAAGCACATGGAGATCCAGGACCAGTCTTGGTGAATCCAAACCATGGTCACCATTCCTCTGCATGGCAGGAGCACAGCTCCCATCCTCCTGCAGGAGCTCAGCTGGCTGCTCGAGGCACAGGCAGCCGCCGAGGGCCGGTGGAAGGTGCACACACAAACACAAAATCTCATGGAAAAAAAATATTATACACCGTTGATTCCACCCCCTGAGTAGCACAGGGCTGAGTGCAATCAAGAGTCCTTAGAGCTCAGGGCCACCGGTGGCAGGTTTGTTTACAGCACAGCAGCCGACCCGGCGGGCAGATTATCTGCGGCACGGCCAAGGCTGGAGCCTGGAGCCTCCCGAGGGGACTGCGGCGGGGGCAGCAGCAGAAACCCCCCCGGGCACACCGGTGTGAACCGGTGGACATCAAAGCTGAACCTTCAAAGGAGACAATGCCTGTGTCCACTGCCTGCTCGGGGCTGGCTCCCTCCTGCTCCTCCTCTTCCAGCAGCACCAAACCCGGTGCCAGGAGGATGCTGGTTTGCTCCCCCTCCTCGGGGCAGCAAGTGAGGAGCGACTCCACTACACACCTCGGAGAACGAGAAGAGAAGCCACCCTGTTCTGAACTCCACCAGAAAGTGCTTCCCAATGGTTTCATCCCCCTGATTAACACAGAAACCATCCCCCCTGCTAATGCAAAGAAGCTCATTAGCACCTCTTCCCAGGGAGAAAAGGCTCATCCTTAATTTTATTTTTCTTTCAAGTTCTTCTCCTTTCAGGTCCAATTAGTACAAAAATCCTCACCTGCCCGACCCTGCAAAGCTCGGGGCTGTGAGCACTGGGCTGGGCAGCCCCAGGGAGCCGGGATGTCATCGGGGACAGGGACACAGTGGGCTCACAAGGCCCTTTGGCTTCTCTGCTTTGGCAAGACCTTCCTCCCGTTACTCAGCTGTCACGACAGGACAGAAGAACCACTGGCTGCTCAGCTTGGATTTCTGTCGAGGTTTCTGCAGAGTTGCCAAAATTACAGCAAGAGGCAGCTCCTTCCGTGGCACTGAGAAAAATGGAATTCACGCCCCTGAGGACTAATCCTGCTCTTTTCCAGGAGCCCCTTCTCCCTGGAATTTGAACATATGAAGGCAGGAAAGCACACATGACCTGCCCAGAGAGCTGCTCTGCCCTCACCAGTGGAGATCTGTGGGGAGAGACCTGCCAGGTCCCCAGGAGGAAGAAGACCTTGTGCCATGGCTCGGAATGAATTATTCCTTCATAGGAAGGAATAACTAAGCCCCTTGTTATCTAGTAATGGCTGGAAACCCTGGAGGTGACAACTGTAACCCAGACACCAGAGACAGAGAGGGGTTTGCCCCCCACCCCAGGGTTTTCTCCTCAGGTGGAAACAACACAGTAAATCCAACAATGTTTCTGCCGCTCCAAGTGACCCCCTGCTCAAGACCCCACACCCACAGCATGGGGGGGTCACCCCAAGCAGAGCAGCCCCAGCCAAATCCTCGGCTGTGGATACCCTGGCATTGTCCTGGCTGAATGCTGAGGCTGGAATTTTCCCAAGGAGCTAAAGATGCTCCCCCAGCAAGCCCAGTTTTCACAGGAAGAAATGTTGAGGACTTGACACCTCCAAAGCTCGAAGCCAACAGGTGCCATTTTGATGCCTTTTTTAACAATACAATCATCTTTATTTCCCCAGCATCAGTGGTTTGTTTTCCAAATACATTCAGATCAACATCCTTCTTTGTTTAAGAGATGATGATAAACAAACACGATGTGGGAGGCTCTCCCTCACATCAAACAGTAGGAGGGAACAAACCTTGGGGGCCATTAGGAATTGTAATGCCAGATTAATTTTGAATGGATTTCTATTCATTTACATTCACTCAGGCCTATGTAATCCATTAGCTTTGCCTGCATCTAATGGTTCGACATCCTTGAAAATGAGCAATGGATCCTGGACCCTCGGGACCAGTGGGTGGACTGGGAGAGGAGGCAGAGAGTGTCTGGGTGGGCACAGGGGCTGCTCATCCCATCCCAGGGAGCCTGCAGGGACCAAGTGGCAAAAAGAAGAGTGGAGATGGCCCCAAAAACAATGTCAGGAGTTGGGCAGCTCTGTCCCCGTGGTTTCCCCAGCTGGGATGGGATCCAGGGTCCTGGCAGGTCCCGGCTCCCGCACCCAAACAAGGTCACACGTGCACAGGAGTGCAGCTGCCACACGGGCTGGCCTTGGGGAGGTCCCTGCGGTCTCTGCTGCCAGCAAGGCTCAGAGACTGCCACAAACCCTGCCACAAACCCTGCCAAAAACCCCCAAAGCACCGAAATAAACACTCTGTGCTCGCTCAGCACCTCCAACACCAGGCCAAGAGAATGCAGCAAACCCCAGTGACGTCCTCCCACCCCAGCCCGCCTCACCTAAAACAGCCTCACTCACTTCAGCCAGCAAACCCCAAGCAAATTCTGGAATTTTGGAGAGAAGGAGCTGCCATGTGACAGTTTTCTGATTAGAAAGACACAAATTAAAACCAGCAGAAGCCTCCAGCGTTGCCACCCCAGAGCATCATCTGCACCATGGTGCCAACGGTGAGAGGGACAATTACACAGCACCTGTAAACAGGATTATCTCAATGGGAACGGAGATGCACATCAAAAAACTATTTCCATGTCCCCCAAAAATTATGAGTGCCTTAAAAGGATGATAATAATGAGTTTTAGGGCATACACATGATCTTCCCCACCGCATAATCTGCCCATTTCAGAGCAATGTAGCTCTAGCAGCTCTGTTAGAGAAGTAAATTAACCCTAATTTGATTGCTTCTCAGTAACAGTAGTTTCATTGCTCTAATCAATAAGTCACAGGGTTTTACGACTGCCCTTGGTATATCAATCACTGGAATCGGTAATAAAATGCTTTTCATTTGAAGAACACCTGAAATACTGTGTAATTACCTTTGTATAAAATTACAGACTCCAATTTACCCATTTCACCTGCTGCAGCCAACAGCCTCGCTCGGCACCAAACATCATTTCCTTCCTAAAGGCTTTCTGAGCCGTCCTTCATCCCTTCCCCATGTCACTGCAGCAGCGAGTCATTACTCACACCCCACAAAACAGCAGGTTACAAGAGACACCCATCTCCCAGGAATCCTTCAAGAAAGGGAGAGATCCAACCCTGGACCACAATGTCCCCAGGCAGCCACAAGGGACTGATGGAGAAACACGGCCAAGGGAAGGTTTCAAGGCCCCTGGCTGGCACTGAGGTGTCCCTGCCTGGCAAAGGATGCTCTGGGCACACCAGGCCTTTGCAGGGTATGACATGTCTCCCCTTCTGCCCCCTCAGCCACCCCATTACCCCTCGGTCAAGCAGATTCCTGCTGTCCTTGCTGGAGCCATACAGCTCCAACACACCGACTGCAGGACTCTCCCAGCACTGGGATGCTCCAATCACAGACAAAACAGACATCTCAGAGACCCCTCAGCACAACACACGCCCCCCAAGCCAGAGGGAGCAGGGCCACCTGGCACCAGACCCCCATGTCGGCACCCCAAAGCTGTGCTCAGGAAATGTTTCCAGGGAATTCTGGTTCCTGTCAGTTTTGGTTTTGTTTCAAGAAAGAAAAACAAACTACTCTTATAAACACTGAAAACGACTTAGGGAAATATTTTCACTGGCAGATGTCAGGCCTCAGCAGTTCTTACAGGAATTACCCCCAGGATCCTGAGCAGAGGACACGCTCCCCCATCCCTGTGCAAAGCTGTAACCAAGAGGCTGCTGTGCTGCCCCCACTGCCGTCAGACCCCGAGGTGCCCCGGGTGGAGCTGAAACAGGTCAGGGTGACGAGGTTTAAGTCCTTGGAGCAACATTTAATTACTCCTCTGCAAAATCCATCGCTCACCTGCCAGACCCCCAGGCAGGGGCCAAGAAGTGCCCCGGGCACTCACCCTGAAGTCGATTCCCACCGTGGAGATGAAGCTGCCGGCGAGGAACGCGCCGTCTTTGAACCGCACCAGCAGGCAGGTCTTGCCGACCCCGGAGTCGCCCACCAGCATCACCTGGGAGGGAGGGAGGGAGGGTGGGTTAGACTCTGGGTTTTGGGAAGGAAGCCCCCTGCAGCCATTAGCCAGCTCCATCCCAGGAGCAGGCAGCAGATCCCATACGCTTGAGAGGAACAAAGTACATCCAAGAGCGATGGACCAAGGGGAGGGTGGGGGGGGAAAAGGGGGGACTCACAGCAGAATTATTCCCCATCCTGCACCACGTGTGTCCCTGAGCACTGGCTCAACTCGAGACACCCTACCCCAAGCTGTACTTAACAAGTCCTTCATGGGGGCACAAACCCCCCCTGAAAACCAAGAGGTGCCAGCTGGGTGCCACAAGCTGTAACCCGACGGCTGCAGGGTCCACAGGCTCCCCAACACACCCACAAAACACCCCACCACTGTGGGGCTTTCTGGGAGTGCGGCACCACCCATGGGGAGACTTCAGGAAGTCCCCAACCATAAGCGCCAGCTCCAGGGGTGCATCAGCCCTCTGCAAGCAACTGCCTTCAGTGGGACCCACACGTGCCCACAGCTGCCCTCCCGGTCCTCCACAGATGCCAAGGGAGCAGCTCCCGGTGCCCCTGCTTCAGTTTCCCCACCCAGCAGCTGTCCTGGGTGCAGACAGGGCAGGCAGCCCCCTGCCACAGAGACCATGGCAGAGCTGAGCCTGCTCCCAGACACAGCTCCCCAAAACCTCAGCCCAAACCAACAGCCCCCCTGCCCCCTGGGGCACCCAGCCCTCTCCCCTCAGTGGGATGACAACTTCCCACCACTGAGAAATCTGGGACCATGGAGCCGGGCTGCGTGAGCTCCTTCTGCACCTGCCACGGCAGGTTCCCTCTCTCCCAAGGTGCTCCCATCAGCCTTCCCAGAGCCATTAGGCTGTGACAGGATTTAAACGGTTCTGCAGCTCAGCCCTGAGAGGTGGCAGCAGCCCTGGGTGCAGGTGTAGCTCGTTTTGGGGCAGGAGGGCAGGATCCAGCCACAGTGTCCCAGCATCCACGGTGCAGAGCCCCACACGCCGAGCTCTGGCACGGGGGTTGAGGGCAGCCAGCAAACCACAGGTGTATTGGTGCAAAGCCAAGGGAAGGGGGAGAAGTCAATTTTAGCACAAAATATTGGGGTTCTTTAACTTTCCAGACCTCTCTCTGGAACAGGTAACCCTCAACAGCAGCTTCTCCCCACTCAGCACCATCAATGCCTCACCAGTCATGCAGAGCGCCCGGGGCCAGGATGCAGCCCCGTACCCAAAACTTGCATTTGGCCACTGCCTCAGACAGAGCTCAGGAGCCTCAGAAGAGGGGCAAGGGAAGGAGAAAGTTTAACAAACCAGGTTTTTACTGAATGCAAAGCAATTTCTCTCTGCCACTGGTTCAAAATCAGCCAGACCATTAGCAGAGGTTTTGGCTAACTGGGGTATTTCGGCTTCTCTGAGACCCATTCGGCTCATCCCGGTGCCATGGGCAATTCCCAGGGAAAGCCACAGCCTGGGCAGGCAGAGGTGAGCTCCAGGAGCCAGGAACCAGCGCAAACACGGAGGTGGCTCCATTTTAGGGAAGCCGTTAAACCGTTACTGCAGCTGTATCAGGACCAACCGCCTACCAAAGCAATCAAACCCACCTCTGGAACACCCCTCACCTCCTACCCCACATCCCAAACCTTAACACGATGGCCACACCAACTGCCACCGGCACCGAGCTCTCGACACCACACCCCGCGGCAGGACCTGCCCCAGCAAAGCCCGTGTTCTCCCGGCTCAGTCCCCCACGGTCGGTTACAGAGATCTGTGTTAGAAAAACAGCCAGAGCGTTTGCACTGAGTTGTAGCCTCAGCCAAAATCACTAAATGAGCCCCCATATCGCTAAGTGCACCCTAAAATCATCAAGTGAGCTTCAGGCTGGGTTTCCATCAGGTCGTATGATGAAGTGGGGGGACGCAAATTAATTTGTTCTGTGACTCTCTCGGCAGGATCTGAAGCAGCCATCTGAGCCCAGAAAGCTGGAGACATCTCAGCAGCAGCCAGAGCAGACTCGATGCCACTCAAGGGGTGCCATCACCCCGCTCACAGCCCCGTTTTTTGTAGGTTAAAGAGGAGCCGGGAGGCCACAGCAGCTCCCCGGAGCAGCCTCTGGCCATCACTTGCACAAGTCCCGGAGCAGCAGCCCCTCTGCCGGGGGGCTCTGCGAGCGCAGCCCCCGCTGATCCCGACCCTGCCGCCCCGGGAGCCCCCGCGGAGACCCCGACCGGGCGGCTGCGGACGGACGGGATGCCAGGGCTGGGAGAGGGAAGCAGGGATGCAGGGATGCAGTGATTCAGGGATGCAGGGGTTCAGGGATGCAGGGATGCCCGCCCGGTCCTGACCCCGGGAACTTCGGGGACGCTACAGCCGACCCCGCAGCCGACTGACCCCGCGCTCCCGGCCCCCTCCCCGCAGCACCCCCGGCCCCGCACCTTGAAGGCGAGGTCGTAGAACTCTCCGCTGCTGCTCAGCGAGGGCCGCCCGGCCGCCGCGCCGCCGTTGCGGGGCAGCTCGGGGGCGGTGGCGGAGCTGCCCCGGGGCGCGGCGGTGGCGGCCCGGCCGGTGCCCTGCGCCG